TTTTGAATTGAACACTACAATCTCACTTCGTAGATGATTAGGCCCAGTACACGAATACAGCCTTTAGAAGACTGACTGTCATTCCAGTTATATAAATATTTTAAGCTGAGAAACGCAATAAATCATGCATGGTTCAACTTGGATGCTAGCAGAAATCAAGGTCGAAAAAACAAAGGATTTTTGTGTTGAAGAAATATCTAATAGGTTTCGAATTAACGAACAAGAGATATAAATACAGAATGTCACAAAAGATGTATATACAAAACGTTAATATTATATATTGTAATTTGTATACATCTTTTTGGAACACCTGTACACACATAAATGTCAGAAACAGACAGATGGAAGAATAGACAAACATATCGGTAAATAAATATGTATCTGTGAGGTAGGTGGATTGGCAGTAGACAGACGGACGGACAGGATGGGTGGATGGACAGACAGATAACGTGAGTACATGGTTGGGTAGGTGGATTCATAGGCAGATATATAGCAGAAATACGGGTAAATACACAAACGTATAAACAGAGAGATATTGGATGACTAGATGGAATTGTGTACGGAGAGACAGATGACGCACATAGGACATTTGGATAAATAAAAGGAAAAGTGAAAGGTTGATTTTATATAGCTCCAATAACTCGATATTTATCCAGTTATGTGCCGAAACACTTAAGAGTACTTCTAACACCCAAACATCCCAAGTCCTGTACATTAATTCCTTCCTACATAACTTTTTTAATCTACTATAGATCGGCCGAAAAAGCTAATGTTCCAGATTACGACAGGATGGCGGTTTGATCACATGAAGGTGATGAATTACGTCACCATTATCCTTAACTCCCAACTGCACTCACTCATTTAACTGAAGCAGCCGCAACTACAGAATGCTTCATAATATTGTCTCCCTACAGCGCCAGGCCCTTACAGAGTTGTATCTATTGTTACCGCCCGATTGTTCAGAATAGCTTAGGGAAGGCCCTCTGACCTATACCAGTGTCCATTTACGAAACACAATGCCCACGAGAAGCACGTGGAAACAAGACAATCAAATTGTTACGCAGTGCCCAATGGAAGTCGCCACTGCCCAGTGGTGCAGGTCGAAGTAACAGGGGCCAGTTCACCCAATATCATCGCTAGTGTTCATCGGTAGTGATTCATATTCGAGAAGGTTAAACATTTTCATTCATCGCCGTGTATCGATGATAAAATTGAGGATTTGGTGATGGATTGTGGCATGTAAAAGACACTGGAACTATATAAAAGCAACAAAATCCAGTTAAAAATCCTCGTGCGAATAGACTATTCCAGAGATATATCAGTAAATGTGAGGATAATATTAAAGTGAACCATAAAATAATTATATGAGGGTATGGAATTAATTCACCTACTGGCAGGGTGTTGGGTCTTAGGTAATGATTCATCAGTTTTCTTTGTGAGGCTGGAACGTCTTTGATCTGTTTTAGATGAGATGCATGTGTCAATACTATTAAAAGTGAGATTTGAGATTGTCCCAGGCTAAAAAACATGTCGATGTTCGTCTTTTGTTGTAACGCCATGTGGACTTGTAGGTAGTTTGCAATGTTTCTGAAAAAGTCTGCATCTTCAGGGTTAAAGAAGGGGAATATGTTGGTATCTGAGTACACATCCACACGACGTTAAAACCCAGAAAACCAACATACACAAGAGTATAAAGAATTATGCATGATGATTAATAATTAGAAAATCTAGTTACACAGTTAATTTACTGTTTGATTTCCATTTCCCCAATTCTTAAGTGAATACGGGTAACAATTCTTGAGTTCTACAAAGACGGTATTTCTTGGTCGGTGTAACTATCAGAGTTCCAAGTAAGACTGCAACATGGGTTTAGTTAATGTAGCGAATCGTAATTAAATATATAATTAGCAAATGTACACGAGTCAACAGTTTCAGCAAACCGAGCTGTTGTTATTACGACAATCACCAAGGGTAAATGTATTGTTTACAACAAGAATCACATCAGTCCATGACTTTACTATGCTTGGGCAGGCTTATCTATTGTGTTCCTGTAAAAACGTCACAGTCCTAGACTCAGGTTATTTTGAAACTAAACCAAATTGGTTGACTCACCATGAAGATACCACTGAAACACACAGCGACTTTAATGGGTCACCTTAGCAGTGACACAAGGCACATAACCGTAAGTCACGCAATGTTCATTCAAAATTATGTGAGTGCATGTAAACATGTGAGCAGAAATAACTTTAGCTGAAAACTGTACACGCAAATGACGTTAGTGAACAATAACTGTAACAAAAAATTAGATGCTTTCCAATTATTCTTCGGGAAAATAAATCAAGTGGAAAACAGTGTTGCTAGTAAATTTTAGTTGTTAGGTTTAGTTGATAGCTTTCTCGAAAGTGTCTATTTGTAGACTTATATTTTACAAATGAACGATTCAATTGACCTCAGTTGTTTGTACGTGAAAGGGGGGTGACACGACGCGCTCTGCTGGCAACTCGAGGCTTAACTCTCTGTTGAAAATGGCTCCAATTTGTACGTCC